GCACAAAAGAAAAAAAAAAAAGTAACTGAACAAAAGAAGTAGTCAGAATCTAGTGCAACAAGTAGGGGATTCCCCTACCCCAACCTCAATCCGCATGGAAAAACATCCTCCAGTCCAAATCAGACATTTGCAGAACACCTGATGCTCAATCAGGGTCTAGATGTACCACTCAGAGCAATTCTCCCGGAAGCATGTGAATCTAACAGGCTGATGCGAGGGAGGAAAAAAGTGACTGCGTAGATGAAAAGAAGAGAAAAGAAATTTGAAAACAGTCCCATTGTCAGTTTTCATTCCATTTCTAAATGTCACAAATCTTTGGGCAAAAATGTAACACAGAGAGTAGTATAAACGTTGCTACTAGTTATTTATTTCTAGGCTTTGGCTTTCATATTAGAATTTTTTCCTTTTAAAAAGTAAATCTGAGCTTTGTTTTCACTTCTGCCCTAAGAGAGGGAAAGAGAAAGAGTAATGCCTTGGAGGAAAGTATGGAGGTGGGGGTGGGGGTGGGAAACAAGGATAGTTCATTTGTTCCTTGACTTAAATCACTTAAGGTCCCAGCCAGGAAGACATACGAGGATTTACTGCAGTTATTACGCTGGCTTAAAGACCCTCGTGAAATCTGCATTGCGTTTCCTACCTTTAACCATCACCTGAGAAATGAGAGATTACTTTTCGAAAACTAAAGTAGACAAAAATCTCTGATCTAGAAAACTACCCTTTCGTAAAGATTAACATTACTGTATCTACGGGTGTGTCCAGCGCTGACTCGCGCTTGTCTAAGAGAGAAGTACAACAGGTGTGGATTTTCCATTCTGTTGACCAAACATAAGACAGAGGTGTCTTTTCATAAACACTCCCCAGAGGATTTTTTTTTTAGTTGACCGGCACACGATTGCAATCAGAAATCACCTTGTTTATGAGGTAACAGGTGTGGGGGATGTCGAGGGAGGAGCCAGGAGCTGGAAGAAGTAAGATGCAATGAAGAAACTGAAGTACTAAAAAAAAAAAAAAAAATTTTTTTATGGCAAAGTGAAAAAGCCAATTCAGAACTCCTGGATGGTGTGTGGCCGTATCAGCACATTGTATCACGATCAGAGTCCTCAGTGTGCAAAGTTTGCACGCTGAAGGAGAGGAAGGGTCAAGCATGGCAAATCCCAACCTTTTGCACATCCCTGGCAACTATTTTTTTAAAAAACAAACAAAAAAGAAAACTACCAAAAATTAAAACATTAGTTAGTTAGGTACAGCTCTACTTACTGTATCTACAAGTCCTCTAGGAAAAGACTAGGGTACTATTTTGGATGTGAATGGCCGTTACCTAAACAAAGCTTTTAAGGTAACAGTAAACAAGATCCTCGTTTCCATGTCAATAAACCAACCGCTTCTGCCTCCTGCACTGAACGTTGAAACAAAGTCAAAAGCTAGGTTACACTAAATAATAGTGACCAAAACACGTCTACAAACAATAGGGGGGAAACTGCAGGCTTTGCCCCCGATACAGAGGAATACGACCCACCAGCCACCACAGAAAACCAAATACTGTTTCTCCCACCCAGGTAGCAAGAGGGGATGGATGATAAATTCCCAAATTTGCCTTGAAAAGATTTTCCTCTTTAATTTCACTAGCTTTTTGAAATGTCTAGCCAAGAAATCAAGGAGAGAAAAACTCTTCAGACATCCGTTATCATCCTACAAATTTCTGAAATTAAATTACCTAAAAGTACAAAAAGCCTGGGCTGCATGCAAGCTATGACAAGTCCAGTACAATTAATAGAGCAACTAAGAGTGTAGGTGGGTTTCTTTCTTGGGAGAAGGCACGCACACCTGATCTCTTTGATCAGAGAAAGAGGGTGAATTTGCAAAATCAATTCAAGTGCACCGAAGGTTGCCAGGTTTCTTTCTTTTCTTTCCTTCTCTTCTATTCAGTGTTAATGCCAAAAGGGACTTGAAAAATCACCTGGGTCCACTTCTTTTACAGGAGAGGAAATTGAGACCCAGAGGTAACGATTGTTCCCGTTCATAAGAGGTGGATGGAGGTAGAACCCCATCTCTGGCCTTGTCCTGCTACCCCAACACAGAGGAGTGAAGTTCATGCAACCCAGCACTACAGCCCAATGTCATCTTAAGGCCTCTGCTTTCGGCAGATATATATTAATAAAAGCCATGGGGAAACTCTGGTAGACATAAAGGGAAGGGAGGAGAGGCAGGAAGCCCACACAGGGGCTAAATAAAACACTGCAAACTCTCCCTCCCATTAAATGTATTGTTACATACAGACACTCTTCCCTTCCCCTCCTGACTTCTGCCTGGAAACTTTTCCCCCTTCTACTCTCAATTTTTAAAACTTCTTATGTGCAAAGGTACCCACACTCAAATGAAAGGATCTGAGAAAGAAAAGGAAGAAAAAAAAATCACTTTGAAACCCCCAGGCCTTATCAGTTTTAGATTTCATGCCATCTGGAGTCACCCCAGTGGATGCCCAGCTCAGCTCTGCCAGCGCCCCTTCCCTTCCCAAACCACATTCCAAATCCCAAGTGCCCCAAGAGGAACCTGTTGCCTGGACCTGTAATTAGCGCCCTCTCCCCTCCTTCCTACGGCTGTCCCCCTCGGCCACGAAGCGGCTGTGCCTTCTCAAAACCGATCCCCACAGCCACAGTTGGTAACGCATGCTGGGCTTGGCTGACAAAGAAAAGTTGCATTTGCTCTCTGGTGGAGTTTCTCTGCACCGTCCCCAGGCCGGAAAGGCAGACTCTCCCGGAGCCGAACCCCCTCCTCCCCAAGCCTAACCTTGGCAGCGTCTGAAGCTGCAATGGGACAGGCTCTAAAAAGAAAACCCCAAGGCCAGCCACAGCAGCAAACTTTTGAGCCAACTCACTAGCTCAGTTTAAAACTACCCAGTTCTAGCACAGAAGCAAAAGAAGGCGCTGTCCCTTTAAATGGGGCTGTCAATGCCCAGATCGTTCCTGAAAAGGGGCGAACAACAACAACAAAAAGCAACCTACCGTCTTGGAATCTAACTCATGGTGGGGCTGACCTAATACTTTATCTACACTTGCTGGGTCTGCGAACGTGACGAAACCGAAGCCTCTGAAAGGAGACAAAGAGGGAGAAAAACAAACAAGAAAATGTGACACCATTGAAAGCAACAAGGAGTGAGACCTATGGCTGAATGAGGACCAAAAGTTGCCCCCCACGCACCCCCACTCCCACTTCCCCCCTCCAATTCGCCTCCTGCCTACAGCCCTCCACCTCGCAAGAAAAAGCATCCAGGTTAATGGGGGAGGTGGAACGGGGGCAGGGCGGGTGGAGGTAACTTGGTAAATGCTGGTGCCTCCACTCTTTGGCCACCTCAGTTTCCTCTCCTCCTTCCCTTCCCTTTCTTAACGCTTTGTTGTATTCCGAAGAAAGCCCGGCACTTAGAAGAGATTCACCACCATCTTTCTAAGAGGAAACTTAAGAGTTTGGGGAGCTGGGAGTGTGGGGAAAACATACATTAAGACCAAAAAAAAAAAAACTATGTGAAAAGTAAATGAAGCTGAATGTCATTTTAAACAGAGAAAAAGAAGCGACGGGAAAATGACTTAAAGCAGAGAGATGGGTATCTCTGTATCCAGAGTTCAGCTCCAATTAACAATAACCTCTAGGGTGATTGGGGGGCGGTGGGGGGTGGTAGAGAGCGCCGTTCGAGATCAGCCACGCGCCTGAGCCCCATTCTAATCCGCTTAACTACTTCCGAAGACACCTCCAAAAATAAAACTTAAACTTTGTTCTAAAATAAAGACAAAATCCAGAAGGCAATGGTTTACCTGGAGCGTTTCGTAGTGGGATCTCTCATGACCATACATTCTCTAATTTCTCCAAATTTGCTAAAATAGTCTCTAAGGCTATCTGTAGAGAGAGAAAGAGAGAGATGGTGGGGGGGGAAGAAGGTGTGGGAAAAAAAGCAATGCAAATTTTGATCAAGGACAAAATCCAAAAGTAGTTTTCTGTTGCTATTCTGTTTTGTTTTTTCATTTTTTGCACACGCGGGGGAAATCGGCAACAGAGGTCGCGTAGAGGGCTCAGAAAGGATTTGCTATTTAAAAAAAATAACCTTGCACAGGAGAAGTGGGAGCCAATGGCGGGGGGGGGCTCCTACACCGGGATAACAAAGAGCAATAAAGAAGCCAAGAAGGGGGGGACCCAGGCGTCCCCCCCTCCCTCCCTTACCTGGTGAGGTCTGCCAGCTTAGTCCACCGATAAACATTTTACTAGAGGGAGAAAACATAACAGAAGTGAGCACCGATGTCAGATCGGCCATTTTGACGTGTAACTTACAAAAGCTAAAAGGAAAGCGGGGGGGAGCGAGCGAGCGAGAGCCGGGAGGTGGGGTGGGGGAGAAGGTGACGGCGAAATGCAATCCAAAGGTGTGTAACTTCCACGGGGGGGGGCGCGCGGGAGGGGCGGGGGGGCGCGGGAGATGCCCGGCTCCGCGCACCGCCGTCCCCGCCGCTGCAAGGAGAGCGAGCCCGAGGCGGAGCGGTGGGCAGCGGCTGGAAACTTACCCGGGGTCGTGCTGGGAGTCGTTGGCGCTGCCCGAGGTGCCTTGGCTCCCATTTGCCTCCATATCTGAGCCCCCCCGCCCCCCCACCCCCAAAAAACCGAGCCCCACAGCGATCGGAGCGGAGCGGCGGCCGGCTCCGAGCCCCGAGATCTCCGCTCCCTCCTCCCCCTCCTCCTCCCCCCCGCCCGGGCTCCTCCGAATCTCTCTGCGAGCAGCGGAGCCGGGGCAGCGGCGAGAGCCGTCACACGTGGGCTCGGCTTAGCTCAGCCCCGCTGCCTCGCACACCCCCCGTCCCCGCCCCCCCGGCCCATCCCCACCTCTCCCCCTCCTCCTCCCCACCCCCATCTCCTCCTCCTCCTCCCCCTCCTCCCCGGCGCACGTGGGGCGGAGTTCTAGAACGTCGTGTAACCAATGCCGGTGACGTCACGCACCCCCGTGCGGCCCCCGCCTGCCCGCGCGCGCACACTCGGCCCCCCGCGGCCGGACCCACACGGGTGGCGCGAGAAGCCCGCGGGCCGAGGGGACCCCGCCTCCGGGCCGGCTGGGCGCGGGGCGACGGGGAGCGCACCCCGACTTCCGTGGATCACATGGGCTGCGGGGGGCGGGTGGATCGGGGGAGGGGAGGCGCGAGGAGCTTGCTGCGGCTCCTCACCCGGACCGGGGTGAAGACGCCCCCCCACCCTCTCTAGTTCGCCCTCTCTATTCAAGTTTGCCGGCCCCTGCCGCCGAGATCCGGGGATGGCACCAGCCGCCCGCCCTGCGCTGCGCCCTGTTTCCAGCCGCCGCTCAGAAATTTAGGTCAAGGACGTCGGGAGCAAACCCACACCCCGGCGCTACTCTGGCGGCCCCCGAGACCCTCCAGGATCGAGGGACTTCAGGATGGCGGAGACCCTCCTGCACAAACACCAGCCACAAGTTTTATTTTCCTTTTGCGCTGGAAGTTCTGTCTGGCTCTCGCTCCACACCGGCACGTCTTGCGCGGCTCCCCGCCCTTCCCCAGTAGAGGTACCAATCCGTGCCCGGGAAAGGTTATTTTGGAACTTTGAGAAACTGACGCGATTCCAGTGGCGAGAAAGTGCCGAAGAAAGGGTTTCCGCGCTAATCATAGAGTGTTGTAACAATATAATATGATAGGTTATAGGGGTCAAGGTCACATGATTGAGGTTCAAAGCAAATGTTTGCATATAATGAGAAGTACTTTTGGAGTGTCTCTGGGATGGCTGGGATGGGTGGTTATTTCAGGAAGCCGCTGTGTAATCCGTTCGTTATATTTTTTATTTCTCGAATTACCCAGCCTTTGTATGCCAGGATAATAAAATGCATGAGACTGAAATAGCCCAAGACCCCTCACGAACTGCGGAGGTAGCTGGGGTGGCAGAAGGCTACACAATCACTCCCACCTTAGGAGCAGCCGTATTGTACAGCACGGCTCTGGCATACAGTAGGTGCTTAATAAATGCTGGTTTCATACCTTTGTGCACTGAAAACTCCAAAAAGACGATTTCTGTAGCTTTCCAAAGACATCGCACATTTCTCCAGAAGATTCCAGGCTGGCCAAATTCCGGCTGGTTTCAATTTATAAACAATATGGATACAATTATCCGAATTGTTTTAAATTATTGCAATAAACTTAGTTAATATGGCATGAGGGGTAACATACAGTTGTGGTTCATCAGATACTGAGATTAATGTCAGGCATGAATTGATGCCCAAATAACACTTTTTCATTAATTTTCATAGGATTGGGAGACAAAGAAATACACTCAACACCAAAACTGAACCAAATCCACTGTGAGTTTTGGAAAAATGGAATATTTGGAAAATCTGAACACCAGCCGTAGACTTTAGTGACCAGGCTCTCAATCTCCCTGTTCCCTAAATTGCAGTAATTCCTCCTTGACAGGATTGATGGGGTGAAGGCGAGAGAGGCTGAAGTGAACCAATGTTGTAAAAGTTCCTTTTTCACTGTAAACCTGAGTCGTGTTTATCATCAATTACTACCCAATATAATCATATCGAGAAGGTGCTCTAAGGCTTTAAACTTCAAACCCTCACATTTCCTGTCACTCCAAGCTCCTTCCCAAATCATCTGGGGTCTCAAATGTGGAATAGTTAGTTGTTTTGATGATTGTTTATTATGAGTGATTATTCTCAACAAAATGCAGACAACAGAGCTAATTGTGTTTGGAATTTTTACGGTAGAACCATAGGTCATCCTAGGTAGAAAGGCCTCTCCTAATCTAATCCCCTCATTTTACATCAGGGTCTCAGGTACCAAACTCACCAGGCTACACCCCACCCCGACCTTCTGGCCATCAGTCCAGTGCCATTTGGCCTCTGCTGCCTACATGTTCATTCTGTCCCTCGAAAGGCAAGAGTTGGGGGCCCTTCTTCTCTGGCATAGACCTCCACAGGCTGACACTTACAGAACTGATTTAAAATCTAGAGAGGGGCTAGTGCTGCAGTTACAAAGTCAGTGGCTGAGAAAGAACTAGATTGTAAGTCTCCATTACTACATTGTTTTTACTCATTTAATTTATGTGCAGTAACATTTACTCTTTTTGGACTGTAATTCTGTGAGTTTTTGACATGCATAGAGTCATGTAACCACCACCATAATCAAGATGCAGAACAATTTTATTGTCCAAAAAATATTCCTTCTTGCTGCCCTTTTGCATTACATTATTTGTAATAGCTCATTATTATTATTATTTTATGCATTTTTTTTCTCCAGTTCACTCAATGTAGCCCCTGCATCAGGTGAATCCAAGCAGCACGGTATCACTCCTCAACGCTCTTAAAGTCTCGACAGCCCAAGACCATGTTGGACAATTCCTTCTTCAAACTCAATCTTCCAGGATGGGTTTAAACACGTGTTGATGCCACTCAAATTGAAATCTCCAGCCCCATCCTTCCTGAAGAGTTCCAGGCTCTGGCCAATTTCCTATTCAACATCTCCACTTAGCCTCTCTAAAAGCAGCCCGAGCTCAAATCCGTCTTTCTTGCTACTGCATCCCAGATCTCCCACCTGAGGCCCTACAGCAGCCTACAAAAGCCTCCCCACATGCACCCTTACTCCACTTATGTGCCTGGAAATCTTTCCCAGACCTCTGTGACAGGGTCGAATGCCCCTTGATACGCTGTTACCCTACCAGAACATACTCTGTGTACTTACCCTGTATGATCATTTGCTTTATTGCGCATCTCTTCTAAGCCATAAGCTCCTGGACCTTTCTGCTCTACAGGTACCAGCACACTGTCTGCTCGCCCATGGCTGATGCTCAATAATGACTGAATGAATGAATGAGTGGGTGGATGAATGAATGAATGATGGCCAACATTATTTTCATTCTAGGATTCTTTTTGTGTTTTTGTTCGTAAGTCAAATTGGCGGCAGTTTTCCCTTTTTCTGTTGCCTTTGTCTGCTTATACTGATCTCATAAAATGAACTGGTAAATTTTCCTTCTTTTTTCATTTTCTGGAACAGTGTGTATGAGATTGGAATTGTGTGTTCCTTGAATGTTTGGTAGAACTTGCCGGTAAATTGTCTGGGCCTGGGAAAGACATTTCGTGGGTTGATTTTTAACTACTGATTCCATTTTTTTAATGCTTATGGATCTCCTCAGGTTTTCTGTTTTCTTCTCGAATCTATTTTTATACACTATATTTTTCAAGGAAATTATCCATACCATCTAGGTTTTCAAATGTGTTGACAAAATGCTGTTCATAGTTATCTCTTAATGTATTTTAATCTCTGCTGTATCTATCCATAATGTTTATTTTTTCATTCCAAATATCATTTTATATGTATCTTTTCTTATCTGGATCAGTTGTGCCAGAGATTTTTTTTTTTTTGCTAGTGTTTTCTTTCTACTTTCTGCTAGTGTTTTCAAAGACCCAGACTTCGGTTTTGTTTCTTTTTCTGTTCTAGCAATTTTTGTCCTTATACTGTACATTATTATATATGATATTCTTATATATGGCACAATAGAATATATTATATACTATTATATATGAGAATATAATACATAATGTAATATTAATATATATCATATAGTGTTCCCTTCTGCTTCTGCTCTTTTTGGATTTATCTGTTGCTTTTTTTTTTTTTTTTTTAATTGGTGCCTTAGGTAATTTTTAGCCATCTGTTTTCTGATTTTAACATTTAAGATTATAGGTTTCACTTTAAGTACCACTCAAGCTATATTTCACAAGATATATAGACTTTTTGTTATCATTGAGGTAAAAAAAAAAAAAAAGGTTTAGATTTTAGGCTGGGCACAATGGCTCACGCCTATAATCCCAGCACTTTGGGAGGCCAAGGCGGGAGGATCACTTGAGCCCAGGAGTTTGAGACCAGCCTGGACAACATAGTCAGGCCCTTTCCCTGCAAAAGAAAACTTTTCTGGAAACTAGCCAGGTGTGGTAACATGCACCTACAGGCCCAGCTACTCAGGAAGCTGAGGTGGGAGGATCACTTGAGCCTGAGAAGTTGAGACTGTAGTGAGCCATGATCACATCGCTACTCCAGCCTGGGTGACAGAGCAAGATCCTGTTTCAAACAAAAAAAAAAAATCATATTTCAGATATGATTTCTTCTTTGACCAGTGAATTAATACAGGTGTATTTGAGGGGTATTTGATGTTATTCTTTAGTTATTTATGTCTAACTTAACTGAATTAAGGTCAAATAAGGTGATCCATATGAAGCAGATTCTTATTTATTAAAACTTGCTTTGGTGCAGTTAATTTTTGTAAATATTTCATATAGTTTTTAAAAGAATGTATATGCCTTAATGTTTAAGTATAGCATTTTATATGGATCTATTAGATCAGACTTATTAATTATATTATCTAGATTTCCTGTAGTCTTATGAATATTTTGTCTGCTTGACCTATTGCTTTTTATAGAAGTACATTAAAATGTCTATATGACTAGATTTTCCAGTTTATCCTATATTCTCGAAAATTTTGCTGTTTTTAAAAGTATGTTGTCAGGCACATGAAAAATAACTGTTAAAATTTCCCGCTATAATTGTGCATTTTCTACTTCTCATACTTTTTGCTTTGTGTATTTTAAGACTTTGTTATTAGGTGCATACAAGCTTAGATTTGCTATTTTCTGGTGAATTATTCCTTTACTATTAGCACAGAAGATATTTATCCCTAATGCCTTTTGCTTTAAAGTCTACTTGGTAATAAATGTAACTACGCTTTTAATTAGCCCTTGCATGGTAGATCTTTTTCTTTCCTTTTACTTTCAACCTTTTCACGTCCCAAATTTTTAGTTCAGTCTCCTGTAAATAGCATATGGCTAGTTCTGGTTCATTATTTATTGTGTTAACTAGGAGGTTTAGTCCATTTACATTTATTGTGATTGCTGATATTTTTAAATATCACCAAATATCACAATTTAGGGGCACAAAAATATATTAATTGCAATCTCTAGTATAACATAGTATCATCATTGTTTATACTCATGACCTTATTTTATTTGCTGATATCATGAATACTCGTATACCTGCTATTCAACCAGAGAACTCAAACAGAAGCAATAACTTATGTAACATCTGCTTATGTTCTCCTCCCTATCTCATTCCTCCCAGCCAAAGTAACCACCAGTCTGAATCTTGTATTATTATTTTGCTTTTTAAAAAGTTTTATCATGCATATCAGTGACTAATATTCTGTTTTGTTTTGAAATTTTATGAAAAATTTCTGAGGCTTGATAATTTACTTGATGTGAAATTATTAAGATTCAATTAGATCCTCTAGCAAGGGCCCTGGGGGTTAGAGGGGGGGAACTCAGTTAGATTTTTGTACCTGGTTGTAGTTCATTCTTTTTCCCAGTTGTATAATATTCTATTACATGACCATGCCACAGTTTAGTTTCTCCACTCTATCCCAAACTAGACTTTGGATTGTTTTGGGACTTTTTTTTTTCTACTATTATAAGCAGTATTATGAACAGTCTTACCTTCTGATGTACATAGCTCAGAATTTCTCTTGGAGTAATTGCTGGGTCACAACATATGTGAATGTAAAACCTTACAAGATAATACTAAGCTGTTTTCCAAAGTGGTATTCCAATTTGTACTCTTACTAGCAGTGTATAAAAGATTCTATTGACAGGACATGATGGCTCACACCTGTAATTCCAGACTTTGGAAGGCCGAGGTGGGCAGATCACCAGAAGTCAGGAGTTCAAGACCAATCTGGTCAATATGGTGAAACCCGTCTCTACTAAAACTACAAAATCCGCTGGGTGTGGTGGCACACACCTGTAGTGCCAGCTACACAGGAGGTTGATGCTGGAGAATCACTTGAGCCCAGGAGGTGGAAGTTGCAGTGAGTTGAGATTGTGCCACTGCACTCTAGCCTGTGTGATGATGAGTGAGACACTGTCTCAAAAAAAAAAAAAAAAAGATCCTATTAACTTATTGATTTCTGACATTCTGGACTTAAGTCTCCTTTTACATCTTTTACTTACTTTGCTTTCTGAAAGCTTTTTGTTCTTTTCCTTTTTTTTTTTTTTTTCTATTGCATTGATCAAGAATTCTTTGCCCTCCTTTCCTCATTTACTAATTTATTTACTAATTTGGAAGTTGTAAATTCTTTTTTTTTTTTTTTTTGAGATGGACTCTCGCTCTGTCAGCCATGCTGGAGTGCAATGGTGCAGTCAGCTCACTGCAACCTCCACCTGTGGTTCAATCGATTCTCCTGCTTCACCCTCTGAGTAGCTGGAATTACAGGCACTCACCACCATGCACCGATAATTTTTGTATTTTTAGTAGAGATGGGGTTTCACCATGTTGGCTAGGCTGGCCTTGAACTCCTGACCTCAATTGATTCACCTGCCTTGGCCTCCCAAAATGTTAGTATTACAGGCGTGAGCTACTGCGCCTGGCCAGAAGTTGTAAATTCTATTTCTACTCTTTCAGTTATTAAAATTTTAATCTGTACATGTGATCTAAAATAAATCAGATGCCCTAGAACTATCCAGTAAGCTAAGAATGACTCAACTTCAGTTACATTCTCTCCTCTTATGCTTTATTGTTGCTTGTTATTTTAGATCCACCTAGTTTTTATACCCCTAATTTTAATCTCTATTGTAATTTTATATGCAGCCAATTCATCATTTAGATTTGCCAATATTTACCAATTTCCTTCTAGATATAGACCCTTTCCCCTGAAACATAACCTTTTTTTTGTTTTTCTTTTGGAGGCGAAGTTTCACTCTTGTTACCCAGGCTAGAGTGCAATGGAGCGATCTCGGCTCACCGCAACCTCCGCCTCCTGGGTTCAAGCAATTCTCCTGCCTCAGCCTCCTGAGTAGCTGGGACTACAGGCACGCGCCACCATGCCCAGCTAATTTTTTGTAGTTTTAGTAGAGACGGAGTTTCACCATGTTGACCAGGATGGTCTCGATCTCTTGACCTCGTGATCCACCCGCCTCCGCCTCCCAAAGTGCTGGGATTACAGGCATGAGCCACCGCACCCGGCCTGAAACATAAGCTTTAATAGGTTTTTTTCAGTGAGATTGTGTGAGTGATATGCTCTCTCCACTAATACAAACAGGTCATATTTCACTCTCACTCCTGAATGATGATTTCTCTAGGTGTAATACTCCAGATTGGCAGTTATTTTACCCCAGCACTTTTTTTTTAATATAGCATGTCTTCCTATTCTTTATTTCTGAAACATTTGCTATGAGTCTAATTGTCATTCCTTGATAGGTAATCTGTCTTTTCTCTCTGGTTTTAAGGTTTTTTCCTTGTCATTGGCTTCCTGCATTTTTACTCTGTTATGTTCAAGTATGAATTTCTTGTTATCTGGTTCGGTACTCATTGTATATGCACAATCTTGGGATTCTAAGTAAAGTCTCCCTGTCATTGTCTTCTGGCACTTCTGTGAAATGTGTGACACATCTTGTCCTTCTATCCAGCATACTCTGAATCTGTCAGACTTTCCTTCACTTTGTCTTTGCTGCTTCCTGGGCAATTTTCTCAGATCCATCTGTAGTTCTTTCTTCAAGCCTGTCTAATCTGCTGTTTAACTCATCACTGAGCTTTTCATTTTGGTGGCTATATTTGTCATTTCTAGAAATTCTATTTAGTTCCATTTAAAATTTACCCTTTTTAGAGTGTTATGTTATTTTCTCCTGGTTTCAAAGGTTCCTTTGTGTTTTTAATAATGTGAAGCTTACTTATTTTACAGTCTGTCTGATAGTTCTGTTACCTGAGGTTTTTGGGATCTTTGTGTTGGCTACATCTTGCTTGTGGAGGATTATAGCCACATGCATTGTATAGTTTGACATTGGGTCTG